CTCTACTCTATTCCATTGATCTATGTGTTACTAATTGTGCCAGTGCCATACTGTTCTGATTCCTATACCTTTGTAGTATAGCTTGAAGTCAGGGAGCATGATAGCCTCCACTTTGCTCTTCTTTCTCAAGATTGGAAAGCCCAGGTTTTTAACAGTTCTTCTGATTGACTAGATATAAATCAGAGGTGGCCAGAAACCCTTCTATGGGTTCCATTAACTTGCTAAAGAAGTTCAAAGAACTCAGGGAAACATATTACATACCTGATCACCTGATTTATATAGAAGAATATAACTCAAGAATAGCCAGATGGAACAGACGAATAGGAAAAGCTGGAGGAAAGTCATGGGACTTCCATATCATCTCCAGGCATGCTGCTCTCCCAAATCTCCACATGATCACCAACCTGGAAGCCCTCTGAAACCATCCCTTTGGGGTTTTGTTGAGGCTTCATTACACAGACATGACTGATTAAGTCACAGGCCTTTGGTAATGCATTCAACTTCCGGTGCCTCCCCAGTCTCCAGAGGTCAGAGAAGTTCCAACCCTGCAGTACCCTGTTGGCTCCACTGACACCCAGTACCCATCCTTATGGTATTTTCAAAAGTCACCTGTTCTAATGTGTTGTTCAGTGCCTCTCTCTCCTTACTTATTTTCTGTCTGGTTGATCTGTCCTTCAGAGTGAGTGGAGTGTTGAAGTCTCCTAGAATGAATGCATTGCATTCTATTTTCCCTTTTAATTCTGTTAGTATTTGTTTCACATATGTAGGTGCCCCTGTGTTGGGTGCATAGATGTATATAATGGTTATATCTTCTTGTTGGATTGACCCTTTTATCATTATGTAATGCCCTTCTTTGTCTCTTGTGACTTTCTTTGTTTTGAAGTCTATTTTGTCTGATACAAGCACGGCAACTACTGCTTTTTTCTCCCTATTAGTTGCATGAATTATCTTTTTCCATCCCTTCACTTTTAGTCTGTGTATGTCTTTGGGTTTGAAGTGAGTCCCTTGTAGGCAGCATATAGATGGGTCTTGTTTTTTTATCCATTCAGTGACTCTATGTCTTTTGATTGGTGCATTCAGTCCATTTACATTTAGGGTGATTATCAATAGGTGCATACTTATTGCCATTGCAGGCTTTAGATTTGTGGTTACCAAAGGTTCAAGGTTAACTTCCTTACCATCTAAGAATCTAACTTAACTCACTTGATATGCTATTACAAACACAATCTAAAGGTTCTTGTTTTTTTCTCCTCCTTTTTCTTCCTCCTCCATTCTTTATATATTAGGTATCATATTCTGTACTCTTTGTCTATCCCTTGATTGACTTTGGGGATAGTTAATTTAGTTTTGCATTTGCTTAGTAATTAGCTGTTCTACTTTATTTACTGTGGTTTTATTACCTCTGGTGACAGCTATTAAACCTTAGGAACACTTCCATCTATAGCAGTCCCTCCAAAATACACTGTAGAGACCGTTTGTGGGAGATAAATTCTCTCAGCTTTTGTTTATCTGGAAATTGTTTAATCCTGCCTTCAAATTTAAATGATAATCTTACCAGATAAAGTAATCTTGGTTCAAGGCCCTTCTGCTTCATTGCATTAAATACATCATGCCACTCCCTTCCGGCCTGTAAGGTTTCTGCTGAGAAGTCTGATGATAGCCTACTGGGCTTTCCCTTGTATGTGATCTTATTTCTGTCTCCATCTGCTTTTAAAGTCTATTCTTATCCTTGATCTTTGCCATTTTAATTACTAAATGTCTTGGTGTTGTCTTCCTTGGATCCCTTGTGTTGGGAGATCTGTGCACCTTCATGGCCTGAGAGACTATTTCCTTCCCCAGATTGGGGAAGTTTTCAGCAATTACCTCCTCAAAGACACTTTCTATCCCTTTTTCTCTCTCTTCTTCTTCTTCTGGTACCTGTATAATGCGAGTATTGTTAGTTTGGATTGGACACGCAGTTCTCTCAATATTTATTCATTCCTAGAAATCTTTTTTTCTCTATATGCCTCAGCTTCTTTGTATTCCTCTTCTCTAATTTCTATGCTATTTACTGTCTCCTCTACTACATCTAATCTGCTTTTAAATCCCTCCATTGTATGTTTCATTTCAGATACTGTATTCTTCAACTTTGTATCTCTTTTTTTAATTCCTCCCGGAGTTCTTGAATATTTTTCTGTAGCTCCATGAGCATGTTTATGATTTTTGTTTGGAAATTTCTTTCAGGAAGATTGGTAAGTTCAGTTTCACTTTGTCCTCTTTCTGGTGTTTGTGGGATTTTGGTGTCAACCAGGTTCCTTTGACATTTCATATTTGTAGGTGGCACCCTCTAGTGCCAAGAAGCTCTAGACTCTGGAGTTTCTCAGCATCCAGAGTGATGGCAGGAGGTCTGAGGCAAGTGATGCTGGTGCCTGTCAGGAGGAAAGAGCTCTTTCCTGCTTCCCAACTGCAGTGCCTTCCTCCACTGCCAGGGCCAGTGGGCTGAGCAGACAGCTCTATGCATTGCACTTGTAGCTGCTGTAGGTAGGGTTGCCCTCTGGCTGGCCTGACACAATGGTGGGGTCAGCCAGTTTGTGAGCTGGTGCCGGCTACATGGCAGGATGCGTATCACTGTGGGGGGCCTCATAGCTGTGTAGCCAGCCAGGGAGATAAAGCACCTGAAGCTCCTGAAAGTTCCCAACCTTCTGGGCAGAGTGCACCCAGACAATTTTGTCTACTTGTTCTATCCCCTGAGCAGCAAACTCTGTGCAATCCTTGCCCCTTTAGCAGCCTACTCACTCTTAGGGAGTCTCTCTAACTGCCTGCCTTTATTTTGACCCAGAGCAGCTGGTTGTGGATACATGTTTTCCACAAGCAGCTGGAATCTCAGTCTGTCAAAGTATTCTGCCTGTCTTAGCTTTCCAACCCCACTAATCTCCAGAGCACCATTTAATGTAGGTTCATGCTCCCAGAGCAGATCTCCAGGGCTGGGTGTTCAGCAGTCTTAGGCCTCCCACCTCTCCCTGCTTCACTTCTCTTCTTCCCTCCAGTGAGCTGGGATGGGGGAAGGGCTTGGGTCCCTCCAGATCATGGCTTTGGTACTTTACCTTTTTCCTTGAGGCCTGCTGTTTTCCCCAGTTGTGGGCAGTCTGCTGCAGCCTTCTTTCCTGTTGCTCTTTCAGGATTAGTGTATTTGCTATATTTTCATATTATATGTGGTTTTGGGAGGAGATTTCTGTCTCACCTCTCATGCTGCCATCTTTAAGCCTCCCTTCCATGTAATTCTTAAGGTAACAACTTAAGTAGTGCCTCCTAGAAACCTCATGCAAATACAATGCAGTATTTTCCCAGCACCTGCTGTATGCCTTCACCAAGCTGGGCCAGGAATTCCTACATCAAGACAGTCTCTTTGTACAATGATGTCACAAACTAATGGAAGGTCCAGACAAATGCTTACAAAAAATAAATGCATTTTATTGATGCTGATGCCAAGTGTCGTGGGCAATGCAGAAAACAGTGAATATCCAATTGTCTCCAATCCATTCCCTATACTGGTGCCAGAGAGATCTTTCTAGATTGAATATGTTGTAAGATAATAGCCAAACTCCTTAATCTCACTTAGCCAGGTGCCCTATAACCTGGCCTTTCATCCCCTGCTTTTCCCTTTCAGCCATACTAAATGCTTGTGAACATTCCCACTTTTGTCATGTTCCAGGTCTCTGTGTTTTCTTTTCTTCCAGAAAGGGTTTTTCTCATGCCTGTGTGTGTCTGGTGAACCTCTGATTTAAGCATCACCTGTGCTATGAAACCTTCCCTGTCCTCACAGGTGAGAGTCACACTTCTTCCCGTGTTTTCCCATTATACTTGGGAACTGCCTTCACTGAGGCACCTGCCACAACCAAATACATTGATTCATTTATTTTATAATGGCTTTATTGAGATGTAATTTTTATACCATAGAATTCACCTATTAAAAGTGCACAACCCAGTGGCTTTTATTACAGTCACAGAATTTTTTCATCCATCACCATTATTAATTTTTTTATATCTGCTATTCTAATCCAACATCTCAGTGTTCTTTCTAGCCTTACCCCTTTCCATGCTTGTATTTTCTCCAACAGTGGGAAATCTGGCCATCATTATTCTCAATATTTTTACTTATTTGCTCAATGTAATCAACTGTCCAACAACTGTCCATCAGTCTTCTCAGTCTGCCACCTGCATGCCTCTCCTTTCAGCCCCCGTGTTCTTGTCCACTTGCCATTGTGTCTCACTCAGGAAGGTAAGAGAAACAGGAAAGAAAGATGGGAGGGAAAGGAAGATGGGATGAGTAGGGAAGATGAAAAGGGAAGAGAAAATAGGAAAGGAGGGGAAGAGTAATATTAAGATCATGCCATCAATTGCCTTCAATAACTTAATGTTAATAATTTTCATATTTAGTTATGCTTATTCAGCAGCAATTCTGTGCAACTGTGGCAAAGTCATGGGTTTCTATATAAATGGGCTCATTTATGTGGTAAATAGTTGAGAGTTTAATGACAGTGTTAAGAAGGTGACTGCCAATGGCAAACTGATGAAGTTTAAAACTTGGAGACCTGGAATCAGACAGACCTGTGTTTTAATTCTGGCTCTTCTTCTATGTGTATGGCCAAGAGCTAGTTATTTATCAGCTGTGGGTGTCAGATTCCTCACCTGTAAAATGGGTATACTATTTACTTCACAGGATTGTGATTGATGTTTATGGGACATAATAGTCAGTTTGGTTAATTATTGTTGTTGTTAATTTGTTATTGTTATGGTTAGTGTTCAAAATATTATACTGTCTCCCTATACATCCTCTCTTGCTTATTTTATTGTCATATGGAAACCTAGCATTACTAGACTATAGTATCCTCATGGCAGAGTAGACACACATACACACATACACACACATAAATGAGGCTGCAACCATGTTGTTGCTGTACTTTTAAGTGTCTCTTTTAATCAAAATAACATTTTTTCCAGATTGAAATTTGGTGCCAACTTAAACATTGGTTTCCTTGGATAAAAGCATGGCAAATGAAAATATCCCTACATAATATTGGTTTTCTCATTTGAAAATAATGAAAATTCTAATATAAGAAGCCACTATTGTTCTGTCTTCTCTGTTCTTGTGGGAAATGTTCTCTCTCCAGTTGAATAATGTGTTTCAATAGCAGTGTCCATGTTCTTATAGAACCTGGCTCCTTGGCACAAACATTTGGTTCAGGCATGGGTATCTAGCTAGACCAATTAGCTGTCCTTCCCCAAGAATTTTTAACTTGGGACTAGAGATCATCACCCTCAGTCTGATAGTGAGGCTGAAGATGTGACCTTGAGAGGTATCTGTGGCCTTCTCTCCAGCCATGTGGAGGAAGCTGGTCTGACAGCTTGAAGCTAATGTGCTGAGAGCAGCAGAGTTTAGGGTTGGACACAGAGAGAGGGCCTCTGTTTCTAGTAGTCCCTGAGGCCTGGTGGACCACTACCCTTGTCACACTTTGTATCAGGAGTACGTCCTCCTTCTTGCTCACCAGCTTAGTTGGCTTCTGGTCAATGGCAACCTAGTGAAGTGTGACTGCCTTATGTATCTCAAAGAGCTGTTACGATGATCAGTGTACATAGCAGTGACTCAACAAATGTTGGCTTATTATTCTTACATTTAACCTCCAAAGGCTGACTGAGAAAGAATGGGGCAATCTCAATTCTAGAAGTAGTTTTCTTTTGAGCATCACTAAGGAAGACAACTGAAGGCAGAAGGCTGGAGCTCTCCTCTCACACCACACACGTGCACACACATACACACACACACACACATATCCTCTACTCATAACCCAGTTTTGCTGCCCTGAGTTTCACACACCTGCCCCAAAACACTACTAGTACTTCATTCGGCATAATCTCAGTCTGTCTCTCAGCATCCTTCCCCCTTATGCTATACAACATTTTAGACTGGGTCTGATGGTCCTGAACTGTGCTCTAGTCTAAGCTGGGTGATATAGGTGCTCAACACAGGCCTTACAACGGGTGTAAGCTCATGGGGGAGAGGGGTGAGCTCATGTCTGGGTTGTGGTCTGGGAATGACCCTCCTTCAAATTCAGCTTCTTAGGAGACAGTGTAAAAACATTTTTAAGTTAAGTTTTAAATATGCTTAGTTCTTTAGGTCAGTCCTTGAAATCAGTGGGTCTCCAGGATTGTGTCAAGAATTTGCTTTCCTGCCCTGGGCAACCCAAGTGACTGTTAAATCAGTGACATTACTCTTCAAGGGCTGCTCTCTCTGGAGGACTCCATTTCATTATTTTTATAAGCCCCACTTTGATTGATGAGGCTTGAGGGAGGAGGTTCCTAATTCCTTCATTCACACAGATTGGAAGAGATTGCTGGCATTCTTGCATCTATTTTTGTAAGCCATCTGGGTATTGTCTAAAATATTCTTTGGGGTTAGAGACATCTTTGCTTCTACTCAGGCAATTTTAAGGTGAGGTCTTTTCTCATCTGACGTTTCTAAATAGTTCTCCAATTAGAGAAGGGTTATGACAAGAGGGGAAAGGTAGAGTGGTGATGGAGGCAGAGCTCGGCCTTTCGTGGGCGGAAACAGTTCTCCAGCCAGGTAGGCGTCCTTAACTCACGTTATCAACCCCTGTCCGCAACTGAACGGTTTCCCCTATTGACGCAGTGCTTCCAACTGCGTCCAGCTGGAGGGATTTTGGTGGTTAGTGTTTGTCTTCCTACATTTCAGTGATGTTTCAGTACTTCCTCAAAATGTGCCTCAGAACTACCCGGAGGACGAACAAAAGGCACATTCCTGGGCCCGCTCCAGACGCTCGGCACCAGCACCGTCGCGCGGGGCGCAGAACTCGTACTTTCCCAGCGCTCAGCGATTCTTGGGCACCCGGAGCAGGGCCGGCCTGCGCTCTCCGCTTCGGGCAGGCGCTCGCTCACGCTGCTCACCCGGCTCGGAGCTGCCGCAGGGACAGCACCTGCTCAGGCGGCAGGCCGCTGGCCGCTGAGGTTCCGCACGCAGGGCCGGGGACCGACAGCAGCCCAAGACCCGCGTCCCCGCCGGCAGAAGTGACGGCACCAGGCGCTCCCGCCCCTTCCGCTCCCGCCCGCTCAGGCTCCAGCTCCGCGCTGCCGCTCCTCCCCCTCGCGTGCTCCGTCAGCCACCCTCTCTTCCCTCCCCGTCTCCTTCCTGTCCTGCAGCTGAGCTCACGCACCTGTCCGGCCCTGCTTCGCTTCCGCCTCACTCCTTCCCCTTCCGCCCGGCTCCGCCCCCTCCGGAAGACACCGGCCTCAGCCTCCGGAGCCTCGCGGCTCCGTCACCGCCGCGTCCCCCAGACAAGATGGACACCGCCCTGGAAGGTAGGTCGGCCGCGCCCGCGCCCTTGCAGCGGCGTCCTGGGTGGCCCCGCGTCCCCTCCGTCTAGACGGAGCTCCGGACGTGCGGCGGGGCCCGGGCGGCGCGTTAGGGGCGCCTCACCCCGGTCCGGGAGCGCGGTGACGGCGGCGGGGCCCGCGCCCGGGTCGTTTGCCGCCGAGCAGCCTGCGCGAGGACCATTATTAATTTTAAAGCACTTTGATTACCTCAAAGAGAAACCTCATATCCCTTAGCCATCACACCTCAATCTCCCCTATATGCCTCAGGCCTTGACACCTTTAATCTCTACTTCTAGTCTCTATAAATATGCCTCTTCTGGAAGTTTTATGTAAAAGAAATCAAATATTTGGTCTTTTGTGACTGTATCCGTTCTCCAGCATAATGTCTTTTAAGATTCATTCATGTTCTAATGTGTATTTCATTCAATTTTATTACTAAATATCATGCTATTGTATGGATATCCCATATTTTATTGATCCACTTCATCATTTGATGCACATCTTGGTGGTTTCCACTTTTTGGCTGCTGCTAGGGACATCTGTGTCCAAGTTTTTGTGTAGAAATATGTTTCTCTTGGATGTGTACATAGGAGTGGTAACCTGGATCACATAGTAGCTCTTTATTTAGCTGTTTGAGGAACTGCCAGACTGTTTACCATAGCAGTTGCATCATTTTTCAGTCCTACCAGCAGTTTATGAGGGTTCCAGTTTCCCTACATCCTTATCAACACTTACTATTTATCTTTTTACAATACCCATACTGACAAGTGTAAAGTGGTATCTCATTGCGGTTTTGATTGCAATTCCCTGAGAGCTAATAATGTTGAATATATTTGCATGTGTTATTGCCCATCTATATAACTTCATTGGAGAAATCTGTATTTAAATCCTTTCTTCATTTCATAATTTGGTTGTTTGGGGTTTTGTTGTTGAGTTGTAACTATTCTTTATATTCTGGATATTAATCCCTTCTCAGATAATCTGATTTGAAAATATTTCCCACTATTCTGTGTGTTGCTTTTTCTGCTCATAGTGTTCATCTATGAATAAAAGTTTTTAATTTTGATGGAGTCAATTTATCCATTCTTTTTTTGTTGGCTGTATTTTTGGTATCATATCAAAGAAGCCATTGCCAGGTCCAAAAACTTGATGAATTTTTTCTTTAATGTTTCCTAAGAAATGTATACCTTTAGCTATTATGGTTAGGTCTTCAGTCCATTCAGAATTAATGTTTTGTACATGGTGTAAGTTAAGTCCTCTGCCACTTTTTATTAGGTATTTGTCTTTTTATTATAAATTACAAATTCACTTATTTTTCTGCATTTACATATGCTAGTGTCCCCTTTTATTTTGTGACTTCCTTAGGCCAATTTTGACTGTTTTCCCAATTTCAGCGTCCTCTGGGCCTAACCTGCTGCTAGGCATAAATAAGATGCTAAAAAATTATTTATTTAATTGAGTTTATACAAGATTTGTGCACTGTACTACTCATGTTTCATGTAGGCAAGTATATATATTTTCCATTCCAATATTCAGTGCTTGTAATCACCTGCAGTGTCCAACTTTATTGCCTTTCTTTTATGTCATTCAGTGTCTTTTGTTGAGTGAATTTCTCTTTCTGGTCTAAGTCAAGCCTAAATCCTACTTGTGCTTCTCCTTTCCTTAGAAGCTTTTACTCACCAACTTTCTTTCCTATGAAAGTGTCCTAAACCAGGATTGGTGTGTAAGGGAGTATCAGGTGAAGCCAGGATTCCGTGTTCAGTGTTGAGGTGAAGCCAGCCCCATGAGTACAGGGATGGCAGGCCCCTGACAACCTACCTGGAGAGCATCTTCTCTCACTGATGGCCATTTCTCTGCCCGCACATCCCAGCACCATCTGGTCGTTTTATTTAGTTGCATATGAGAAATTGCCTAACTTTTAAGTGTTGGTAACTCATGTAAAAATACATTATTTGTTAAAAATTTCATATGAATGGGAGTTCCACATAAAATATGAGACTCAAAGAAAACCAAAGTAGGTGGCTTTTATGTCTTTTAGACAAAGAAACAATATATTCTGAAGAATTGACAAAACAACAGTTTTGCACTAGGCTAGGAAATTAGTGAGAAAGTAACGAGTTTATTTATAAAGTTAGTGAGAAAGTAACAGGTTTGTTTCTATAGTCTCCGGGCTTTAATTTTTCTCTCTCAAATGATAAGGACATCTCTCCCTCTCCTGGCCCAGGGAGGGCGCCTTTCACATGGGAGATTAGTCTCTGCCTTCAGGGAATACAAAAGGGTCAGAGGGTCTATTTCATCAGCTGTTTGTCAAGTGGCTTTACTTCAAAATAAATAATATGTCAAAATGGCATATTTTGGGGTGGCATTTTTGCTCCCTTACAGTGTATATTTCCCTTTTTTTGTGTTGTTAGCTGCTCTCTTAAGGTTGCTACAGGGTACCGTCGCTTCCTTTAAGGAGTCATACATTGAATGAGCTCAATCATTGTGCGAGAGTTGAGAGCTCTTAATGGATGAAGCTTTCAACCACGTAATGCTGTTTTATCCTAAGCTGTGGGTGGACGATAGAGGAGCTAGAATGCAGAGGCTGCAGCAGCTGGATTTGAGTCCCCGACCTGGAGCTGATGATACTTGCCAAATTCACTGCCCTCATCTCCCCCTCTCACCCTCTAGGATGCCAGTGCTTCCTGTGGGGCCAGGTATGCGGGCTCCATGGTGGCTGATCTGCATGACACACTGGTCTGCGGAGAGATCTTCCTGTACCCAACCAACCAGAAAAATCCTAAGGGCAAGGTAATTATCTTTGTCCACAGCCTGTACTCATCAGGAAGACAGCCAGTGGAGTTCCCCTTCTTACACCTGCTTCTGGCTTCTGCTGGTCCTTGGCATGTCTGTCTGTGAGTGGGCAGCAAAAGCAAATGCAGTAAATTCCCCACCAGTGAATTTGAGGCTGTGGTGGAAGTTTAGGAGAAGTCTGTGGATGTTGTTAGCACCTTACAGTAGCCTCACTTCCTCTGGCCTCATGTCTGTCCAAAACCATGAGTCATCCATGTGTATCCCCCACTTGGTAATGGCTCAATCTGACTTTTAGCTGCAAATTCACTGATTTTACTACAGACCCCTTTGACAAGCTAATGAAACTTAACTGACCCACTTCTCAGAAAAAAATGCACATCACCATACTGATTATGTACGTTCTCAGGGCTTCACAGATGATTTGAAGTCCATCCAAGAATCCCCTAGCAAGTTCCCACACCCCAGAATAAGGACTGCTCAGAAATATGTCCATTTCTAGAAAGATAGGTCCTGGAAGATTTTACTGTAACTTTATAACATAAAACCAAAAATAGTTACATTATCAAATGAAAATCTTCTGATCCAAATGCATCTATATTGAATAGACCCTACCATGGAAATGTGTCTGATTTATAGCAAATCACAGAAATCGTAGGAAAACAGGCAAATCAAAACAAAGACCTGCTGTTCTCTGACATGCCAACAAAAAGCCACAAGTGTGGATGTCTCTCTGGGTGGGAGAATTACTCCGTGTTGAATTACTGAATGGCAGATTCAAGCCATGATAAGAACTCAACTGTCCAGGAGATCAGAGAGATTTTTTTTGTCAGTATTTAAAATTTTTTATTTTTATTTTTTATTGAAGTATAATTGACATTATATTAGTTTCAGGTGTACAAAATAATGATTCTAAATTTTAAATACTGCAAAATGATTACAACAATAAATCCAGTTAGCACTGGTCCCCACACAAGGTCTATTATTTATTTATTTGTTTGTTTACTTGTTTGTTTGTTTTGGTATCATTAATGTGCACAAGGTCTTTTTTTTAACATTTTCAATTTATTATTTTAAAATTAAAATACAATTAAGCTTTTCAAAGAGCTAGAATTAAATTTAAATCCTCTAGCTATATTTTAATGCTCCAATATCTGATTTTCACTGGAACAAGAAAAAATATAAATCATTAGTTCATATTTAATCCATTTTTTTTTGTTTTTAAGCCTTTGTTCCATGTTTATTTTTATTTTTATGTATTTTTTTTTTTACTTTTGGAGGGCTTACATTTTAATGTATTGAAATATTTTTTTGAGTTTTTTTTTTCATTTTGTTTTCATTAATCTACAATTACATGAAGAACATTATGTTTAGTAGACTCCCCTCTTCACCAAGTCCCCGCCACAAATCCCATTACAGTCACTGTCCATCAGCATAATAAGATGTAGAATCACTACTTGTCTTCTCTGTGTTGCACAGCCCTACCCATGCCTCCCACCACATTATACATGCTAATCATAAGGCCCCATTTTTTTTTCCCCCACCCATATCCCTCCCTTCCCACCCATCCTCACCAGTCCTGTTCCCTTTGGTAACTATTAGTCCATTCTTGGGTTCTGTGATTCTGCTGCTGTTTTGTTCCTTCAGTTTTTCTTTGTTCTTATACTCCACATATGAGTGAAATCATTTGGTACTTCTTTTTCTCTGCCTGGCTTATTTCACTGAGCATAATACCCTCTAGCTCCATCCATGTTGTTGCAAATGGTAGGATTTGTTTTCTTCTTATGGCTGAATAATATTCTATTGTGTATATGTACCACATCTTCTTTATCCATTCATCTACTGATGGACACAAGTTGCTTCCATTTCTTGGCTATTGTAAATAGTGCTGTGATAAACATAGGGGTGCATCTGTCTTTTTCAAACTGGGTTGCTGCATTCTTAGGGTAAATTCCTAGAAATGGAATTCCTGGGTCAAATAGTATTTCTATTTTGAGCTTTTTGAGGAACCTCCATACTGCTTTCCACAATGGTTGAACTAATTTACATTCCCACCAGCAGTGTAGGAGGGTTCCCCTTTCTCCACAACCTTGCCAACATTTGTGGTTGTTTGTCTTTTGGATGGTGGTCATCCTTACTGGTGTGAGGTGATATCTCATTGTGGTTTTAATTTGCATTTCTCTGATGACTAGTGATGTGGAGCATCTTTTCATGTGTCTGTTGGCCGTCTGAATTTCTTCTTTGGAGAACTGTCTGTTCAGCTCCTCTGCCCATTTTTTAATTGGATTATTTGCTTTTTGTTTGTTGAGGTGCGTGAGCTCTTTACATAATTTGGATGTCAAGCCTTTATTGGATCTGTCATTTATGAATATATTCTTCCATACCGTAGGGTACCTTTTTGTTCTGTTGATGGTGTCCTTTGCTGTACAGAAGCTTTTTAGCTTGATATAGTCCCACTTGTTCATTTTTGCTTTTGTTTCCCTTGCCTGGGGAGATATGTTCATGAAGAGGTCGCTCATGTTTATGTCCAAGAGATTTTTGCCCATGTTTTTTTCTAAGAGTTTTATGGATTCATGACTTACATTCAGGTCTTTGATCCATTTTGAATTTACTTTTGTGTGTGGGCTTAGACAGTGATCCAGTTTCATTCTCTTACATGTAGCTGTCCAGTTTTGCCAGCACCATCTGTTGAAGAGATTGTCATTTCCCCATTGTATGTCCATGGCTCCTTTATCAAATATTAATTGACCATATATGTTTGGGTTAATGTCTGGAGTCTCTATTCTGTTCCACTGGTCTGTGGCTAAGTTCTTGTGCCAGTACCAAACTGTCTTGATTACTGTGGCTTTGTAGTAGAGCTTGAAGTTGGGGAGCGAGATCCCCCCCACTTTATTCTTCCTTTTCTCAGAATTGCTTTAGCTATTCGGGGTCTTCAGAGAGATTTTTAATATGCAGATTGATGTATCAGGCATTTCTCTTCACATGAGGTTTAGCTCATGTATATTAATCTGCTGAACCAGGAATCACCAGGAGGTCTGCATGAATGCTGCTGGGGGAAGGAGGTGTCCTGTGTATTAAATGAGGTTGAGAGAAGCTAATTAAAACTACTCTTGCCGACCACTAAATTCCAACATGGAGAACAATAAAATTAATTATTTCTATTATTAAAGTTACCTAAAATCCATCATAAAATACCCACATATAATTAAGCATTTCCATAAATATGTAAAAATTCCATAGTTTGATCTTTATTCACAGCACCTAGGCCATCACCCTTCTGGAAAGTACCACTCGTTTATCAACTCCCATGTTTTACACATGGTCTCTGTGACTACATGTGTGTGGGTGAGGATGTGTACACCTCTCCATCCCTATATAGCTGTAGAAAAATGATATATCACACCTTCAAAATGGATTTGAAGAAAAGGATGTAGTAAAAGGCCACAGAGAGCTGGATCAACCACTTTGTAAGGTGATCACTGAAAAGGTTTTTGCACAGTGGGGTAAGAAAGGAGCAATAGTATGATACAGAGTCAGCCATGCTGCTGGAACGTCACCCTACATGTAATGTGATGTGTGTGTGCCCAGTGTGGATGGGGAGGGAGTCACACACAGCTCCAGAAAGAGACCTGGAAAGGAAATACATCCTGCCCATTTCAATTAAATTCCTGTATACTTGTTGGACACAGAGTGGACATCTGTTAGCATTCCTTCCTCAGAACAGGCTCTTCCCTGGCCTGTGTGCACAGCATGGCAAGCACGGTGCAGGTTGACAGTATGCACCTTCCAGCCCCTGACTGGCTTCCCTTGTGCACTCTTCATGGTGGCTTTGTGCGGACACTCTCCCTGGGTCAGGCAGTGCTGGGATGGAGATGCCGCCATGACAAGCCAAGACAGACACTGTCCCTGCCCTGAAGGGAGGCGTCTAAGGAGGAAAGCAGATGATACAGAATCCTCAGTGTCATGGCTGTTATGAACAGGGACATGCAGGACACAGTGGGGTGCACACCACAGAGGGCCTTCCTTTCAGGGGCCAAGAGTGAAGGCTACTGAGACACCAGCAGCCCAGCTGCCCCATCCACCCTGCAGGTGTGGAGTTGCTTCCCACAATGCCGGACACTGAGGTGCTCCTGAGAGACCCCAAGCGTTCTGAAGAGACCCTTCTTGTCCCACCAAACCTGCCTTCTCACCAGCCATAAGGCCTCCCATCCAGCAGCTCCTAAACATGCCTCCTGGCTGAGCCAGTGGGAAATGTGTGCCCTGGTGTCCTGCTCGCAGGTGAGACGCAAGCCCCTCCATGCACACAGAGGCCAGTTTTGACCACAGGTGCCCCTACAGCACAGTGATGTGCATGGGCTGGGGCACCCAGCCTCCTGAGGCTCCTGCTCTCAGTCTGCTGAGGAGCATGGGCCTCCTCGTGCTGACGAGAGGAACAGAAGCTCAGCAGCTGGAATTTCTCAGCCAGCTTTGGCCCATGACTCGGGTCTTTGGCCACCCACTCGGCTTGTCCGCCTCCCTCTGTTGCCCCACAGCTGTGGCTCCTGTATGAGTGCAGTCCTGTGGCCTACATCATCGAGCAGGCAGCAGGCACAGTGACCATGGGCTGTGGCCATGTATGTTGGACACGAGCCCTGAGGCCCTCCACTAGCAAGTCTCCCTTGTCCTTGGATCTCCAGATGATGTGCAGGACTATCTCACCTGTGTGCAGAGTAACCAGGCCAGCAGATAGAGAATGTCCCACAAGCCCTCCACTCTCCATCTTGTACATTATATTCAGGACACTGAGAGAAGGGAGAGTGGAGACAGCAGTGCTGAATACAAAAGGCAAATCCGCCCAGTCACTCCCAGGGCAAATCAGCAGATGCTCGAGGCCCAAAACAAAGATGGGTGGGTTGTCAGGGTGGATGACCGAAAATAAAACCACACGTGAAAGAACAACTTTGATTTGTCTTATGTCATGAACAGTGCAAATAGTAATTCTAAGCCTGGGAGCCCAAGTA